AAGGGTATGAAATGAAATGAAAAAAAAAAAAAAAAAAAAAAAAAAAAAAAAAAAAAAAAAAAAAAAAAAAAAAAAAAAAAAGCAGATTCAAAAGATATAAGCACTAAAAGCAATTAAGCTCAATGCTGATGAAAGAAATAATTTAGTTGTGGATCTTCTTGTCTCAAGATGTTGTGCAGGGCTCAAGGGAGAGACTGGGAATTTTATGAAAGAGAAAGCCATAGAGAATGAATAACCACAGAGAAACCGTGTCAGGCTCAGGAAGTTCCTCAGCTGACCACATTTGGAGTCCGCGAGCATCAAGGAAAAGCAGGACTAACGCTCTCAGCTTTCCCTGTAGTCTCCTCTAGATGTCTGATCTTAGCCATTATTATGGCCAAGATATTGCACTACACGGACATTTGATCTGATCCTGTACAGTCACCTGCATGCTGTTGCTTCCTTTAATCTAGGAGGAAATCTAAAATTTTTCTTTAGCAGACAGTATACATCAATACACAAAAATTACATCAGCAATTCTGATCAATGACTTAATTTACCTTCCAATTGAATAACCACCATCAGAAACATCTGTAATTTATCCTTTTGTGCCATGTTCCAGTTACAAACAATGTAAAAGGGAGCAATTTCAGCATCAAATGACACGAGATCAAAGTAACAGACACCCCAGGAAAGGCATTACTTTTAAAAGACAGAAGTATTCTGTTCATCACTGAAAATCTGGTGTTTAAACAGAAAGGTATCATAGCTACTGTATATTTAACATTCATATTGTAGGAGTCAAAACACATAAAGATTTTACCTGCTTCTTTAGAAAGTAAAAGATACTTGTGAAATGCTAGTGAAATTTTAAAAACTATGTAGAAAAGGTACATAAACCACTAAGAAAGATAATGTACACAGCATTTCTATTAATACTTTCAAACTACACACAGTACTTGTCATCTGATGACACTAGCAATCAGATCTGCCTCCGCTCATGTGGGGAATTTGTTGCCCATATTCACGTTGTAGGGAATTACTGAATCCTTTCCTGTCAAGGGCATTTCTCAAAGTCTCTGTTTCTTGATAACTGTGTTTTTTAACAATATTAAGGCATCTTATTTGCTCTTTCCTCTTCACCAAGCTTTTCAAAAAAGTTTTAACCATCAAATTCAGGAATAAAAAACAAAAAATAAATCTACTACCAAGGAATATCCAAGAAATCAGTATCCTTCTGATACAGAAACGTGGTGGGATAGCTCTAACGACTGGAGCGCTGTCATGGAGGGCTATGTGCTCTTTAGGAAGGACAGGCTGGGAAGGCGAGGTGGTGGAGTTGCTCTGTATGCGAGAGAGCAACTGGAATGCATGGAGCTCAACCTGGGAGTGGATGATGAGGGGGTGGAAAGCTTGTGGGTAAGGGTTAAAGGGCAGGCCAACGTGGGAGACACTGTGGTGGGTGTCTGCTACAGGCC